TTTTTTTTTATACCATTAAAATCTGGTAGTTCTATATGTAGAGATTGTTTGAAACAGTTAAAATATTTTTGTTTGAAGTGGTGGTACCAAATAAAGCAGAATCGTATTCTAATTCACTCTCGCGAGAGTTATAGAATACGTAAGCGGAAGTTTACATTCCGGTTTGGAGAAAACGTGCAGCCTGTGACATCTGTCAGCTAAAAAGCCGGTGGAAGAGTATCGTCTCCGAGCCTGGCTCCAGCAGCCAAACCCTGAAACGATGTATTCCGCTTTAATTAACGCGGTTCTAAGAAGCTCTCCTGATTACGACCTTCTGTTTGAATCTCTGTGTTGGCCGGAGGACTCATTGCCGCAGACGGAGCTGGTGGAGTCGCTCACGGCTCTTATAGAAGCTCTCGCACCGTCTCTTACCATCCCGGATTTGGCTCAAGTTACATTGACAGATGCAAAAAGAAGATGCATTCATGACAAAATCGAGTCGATCATCTGGTCGAAATGTCTTCCTTTCCTCCGCAAAATCTCAACCGAATCAGGGGGTGAAGATCGCTGCAGGCAGGGCACCGCCGCAGTCTGCAGATTACTCGCTGTCTCTGTTTCTGTCTGCGATCAAAAAACGTGGACAAAAGTGGTTTCTTCAACCCTTCCTTCCTTACAGTGGAGTCCAGAGGAGGAGCTGTCTGGAGCACTGAGTGTGAATGTTGCTGCAGAAGTCCTGGCAGCTCTCATGCCTCTTCCTACAGCGGATGAAGAATTCACACTCAGCATTTTAAACTGTGCTCTGTCCTCCATCCCATCGCTCCCCGATAATCTAGTCTCCAAAGTTACAGTCAGGGTGATTTTAACTCTGCTCAATTGCTTCAGTGATGTAAGATCAAGCTGCTTCGCCACTCGGATCATGGACGCTGTTTGCAGCTGGCACTCCTCTGAGCGCTCAGCGGCGGTCACACAGCGGGCCCTGCTGTGTTTCACCGTCCTGTTAGACCACCTTCTAAAATCACACACAGTAACATCAGACACACGGTTCTGGACACTCGTTCAGGACGGACTGACCCACGGGGACAGTGTGTCACGCAAAAGGGCTTTGTACCTGCTGAAAAGATGCGTGGCGCTTTCTGATGAGGAGGGATTTGATTCCTGCTCTACATCAGAGGAAGGTAACATAGAGAACCACAGACTGAAATGGTACAAAGTTGGATTTTATGGCTTAACTGCAAAGTAGATCACAGGCTGTTAAGTGGAGGGACAAAAATTATCTTTTTTTTTTTTCTTTTTTTTTTAAGAAAAAAGGTTTGAAAAGAATGAGACCTTAGATACCTACGAAAGAGGATCAGGGCAACTGAAAATGTTTTACTGATTTTTAAATTTTATTTCAGTATAATGTCAGAAAAAAGTCAAAATTCAGACTTTAATCGCAGAATTCAGACTTTAATCTCAGATTTCAGACTTTAATCTCAGAATTCTGACTTTAAACTCAGAATTCTGACAGCTAACAAACATGGTAGCATCAAGCTGTAGCCATGTCTGTTTTATAGACTAAACTAGCTCTCTTGTTTTAATCACCTCATGCTTTTCCATTAATGAAATAGCATCACTGGGGACCCCTCGGGCACGTAAAAAGTCGCCTAATTTTGTCATTTTCCACCAATGTGTTTCTGGCCCTCTCAAACAACTCACATCTTTGTCAGTGAAGCTGAGTTCTCCCACATCTCTTCCTTCATGGTGCCCATCTACATTTAGATCCACAATTCTGAGATTAAAGTCAGAATTTCACTTATTTATTATGCTTTTACTATTAAGCTTTATAACTCCAAAAATATTGAATCAGTTGTTATAATCATGGCTTGAAAGTAGGGCTGAAACAATTAATTGGATTAATCGTGATTAATTGATTAGTGAGATAATCATCAACTAATTTAGTAATCAATTAACCATTTAGTGGAGTACAGAGACTCTACAACATGCCTTCAGCTTACAGAGCGACCCACTTAGAGCAGCAATTTAACCATAATTGTAAAAAAAAAATATGTACGGTAAGCATTTTGCATTTAACATAAGATTTCAGGAGCCTTTGGCTATCCAATGATTAATTGATTATTTAAAAAAAAAAAGTATCGACAGATTAATCAATTTGCAAAATAATTGTTGTTGCAGCCCTACTGTAAGTAGATCAGTTACTCGGTGTTAAGTAGTCTTCTTACCAAATACTTTTTTTCATTTGGGTAATTTCATTAAAGGCTACTTTTGACTTAAATGAAATATGATAAAGTAGTGCTACTCTTACTCAAGTACTATTTGTGGGTTCTCTACCATCCTCTGCTTACACTCCACATAAAGCTTGGCTTATTAAAATGTTTTTTGCAGAGGAGGCGTTGTTTAATTGGGCCCCTGACAAGAGTGGACTGCTAAGAGAGTTCTGGGAGGATTACACGCTGGTGATGGAGACGCTGGAGGAGAATCAGGTTTCAACTCTTTTACTGTAGACATTATTGTTTCACAACCTGTTTTTATGGCCGAAGTATAACTGTTTCTTTTTTTTCTCCATCTGCAGGTTCATGTTGTCCGCCCAGTTTTAAACAGAATAGACACTTTAATTCAAGCAACAGCGAATGATAGTGAAGGTAAACTGAAAGTTTGTAAATATTGTGTTATTCTTTTTTTTTTTTTACTAATAACTTTATATTCTTTTTTTTTCAGGCTATCAGTTTTTTCCTTCACTAATAGGGGAAGTTAAACCAAAACTAACAAATCTTAAATGTTTTGTCAATCCTGCTTTCTTAGAGGTTATATAAAGAATATATCTAAGTTCCTGAGAGTTCACGGTATTTTTAAAAAAACTCACAGAACAGTTTGTGTACTTGTACTCCAGAATTTGAAGAGTTTATTTTTTTTTTTTGTCATTGTGACAGATTGAAAAAAAGTTAGAAAGTGCACAAAAAGCTTTCCAACAGTAGTTTTGGATCAATTTAAGCAAACCTTAACTCTTAAGAGGTTTTTGATTTGTGACCCATGAAACAGTTTGTGTATTTTTTTTTAAAGATGTAACTTTTTTGTAATTATAAAAGTTAGAAAAAAAAATCTGCAAATAGAAAGCCTCTATTTTATTTCTCTCTGCGACTTCAAATTCACAGTTACAAGCACTAATTACATACCTTTAAAAACTCTTAGAATAGAATAGAAAATCCCTTTATTGCCCCAAAATGGGGAAATTTGGGTGTTTACAGCAGCAAAGGTTATAGTAAAATGGGCAACTTAGAAAAGTGTGTAAAAATAACAGGTAGGAAATTACATGGAGTACCAACTATTTATAGTATTTAGAGTATTTATAAATTCTCTACATACATCAAACTGGTAAAATCAGCTAGCATGTCCAAACACTATAATGAGTTTGTAGTGGATAGTGAGCTATTTAAAATAAATTGCCTAAATAATTTAAATGTGTAGACTGTTATTCAACGTGAATTTTCTAAATTAAGAATGCTGGAGATTGTTAATGGATGCCGGCCTGTTTTGATTAGCATTGTTTGGTGGTTTATATTTTTTGTTTGTTTAATAGTATTTCCACTTTGCATTGTTTTAGAATTTTTTTTTTATGTCCTCACGGGCTGCCGTAGCTAATGAGGACAAGCCCTATAAAAGCTGGTAGAATCATTGTGCCAATGACTGAAATAAACAGTGTTCCCCAGTGAAAGCAGCGAGTTACATTTTGTTTAGTTGTTTGTATTGTAAGTTTATGTTTTGTATTCTAATATTTGTATATGTTTAAGTTTCCATGGTGACTAAGGAAACTGTGGTGACTGTGATGATTATGGTGGATCCACATCAAAGAAAATAAAACGCTAAATGAACCCATTGGGACTGGCTGAGGGATTGAAGTGCTGGGGAGCTGCTACAGAGTTAAATGCTAGTTTGTTGACCTGTGTTGCAGGGTTAGGCCTGTTCCACCCCTCCTGGCTGCTGTGTGTTTACCAACGCATGTTCCACAGTGAGAATAAATCCTTGATGAGAGAAGGAGTGTGCCATCTGCTTGAGCTACAGGTTCTAAGGCAGTCAGCATTTGCTGCGGCATTTTCTCAGGTATTTGCTACAAGGAAATTCTAATCATTATTACAAATTAACCCCCGTTGACTTTCTTTCTACCTTAAATCATTTCTGTGGTGCATTGCTCTCGTAGTTTGTCGTCGGTCCCTTTATGGATGTTCTCTCTGAAACATCCCTTTTCTGTAGGTGAGGATTTAAATAAAGTTTTCTTTAAATATCAATAAATCTGTGGACTATGTTTTTAACTTTTATTAGTTTTAAATAACAGCGCTTCTGGCTGTATGCAGGTCACCCGGGCAGAGTGTAGGAGATTGTCCGGAGCTGGCGGGTAAACTCCAAGTTTTCCTGGTCAACTTCTTCACGAGCCTGCCATCAGAGGACAGAGGTGCAGCAGAAGTAAAACACGTCTATGAGTCACATTTTCTTCTCTGTTTCTAACTGTTGTTGCTCTGTAGGTTGTGTTTTGCTTCAGCTGATTCAGCAGCTCGGATCAAAGCACTGGTGTGCAGTACCACTCCTCTTCATCTGCCAGGCTTTGTCCAAACTCCCTCAGAGTCCTCTGCTGAGGAGCAGCGGGCTCTCTGCTCTTCGGTAACTTATTTTCTCATTAGGATTGTCTTTGGAACACATTATTTTAGGTAAAGAGGCTAATTCAGTTGATGATGTGGTTTCCAGGGAGGTACTTCGCTCTACTATGATCACCCATCAGGTCCTGCTGAGAGGAGCTGCACAGTGTTTTTTACTAAAGAGCACCCTTTCTCTAATAGATGTGGTGAGATGAAGATCAAGTTTGTTTGAAATAAATGTAACATCAACAAAATGATGGTGATTATAAGAGAAACATTTTTATTTTAAGGTTTACTAAGTTTTTAAAAACAGTTTGCCTAAGTGGGATTAATATGACATTTTAGGTGCAATTGCAGTTAGTTATTTGTATAAAGATAAAATGGTTTTTCAGTCAAAGTAAGCATAAAATTAATTTTATTAATTTTTTATGGTTAAATTATTTTTCAAATTTGGTGTAAATATTTTCTTTTGCTTATAGTGCTAATAAATGTTTTATATGATAATTTTCTACATTATTTGTCTGATTTTCCCTGTCAGAGTTCCAACTTTGTGTTTTTTTTATAATTATTTGTTTTATTTAAAGATATAGGGGTCGATTTCATTCCTTTTTTTTTTTAAAAGACCAGACCTCTCCACTTAAAAAGAAATGCTCACGCACAACCCTGTACCGCTCCCATGAGGGAACACCTTATAAATGAGAGATCATGCATGAACCCATTTCTCCTCGTTCAACTCTGTTTTAAAGTTCCTGTTTGCATCGCTGATACAAGCCCACTTTCCAAAACAAGATTAGCAATTTTTCCACTATGTCAGACTCACCACTAGTAAGTGAAAATGCAGACGAGCACGTAGGACATCCTTACGTAAACGTATCACCAGAATGATTGACAGTTTGAAGGACCACTTACTTTAATTATCCTCCCCGGGAAAAAAAAGTCCCCCACTATGCCTTTAAGACTTGAAATAATCTGACTTCCTGTGTCTAATTTCTTCAATGCATTTAAAAAGTTACTAAGTTTTTACATTGCACTGATTTTACTCAACTTAATAATTCCTGTCCTTAAATAATATTGCTAAATTTAATGATATAAGTAAGATTAGTGACATAAATTCTCTAATAATCATGTTTTTATTATCTCAGAGTGAAGTTACCAGAGATGATGTGTTCAGTTTCCTGATGCATTTCCGTGCTGATGAGTCTTTGTGCAGAGGGACAACACTATGGAATGAGGTTTGCTCTTTTAACGCTCATTCAATCAAAATATATCCAATGCAGAAGTTGCAATAACTGATTGTTACTCCACATAAGTTGTGCATCTGGTTGTCGGAACATGATGGAAATTTCAAGCCCAGAATTCTGGATGGTGATTGCGTCGATGGCCCAGCACAAAAAGAAACAATAAGACTCTATGTTCAACAAGAAGTAATCGTTTATCTTCGTGTTCCAGCAAGCACAGGTGAGGCTTGTGTCTTACTGTATCTGTAGATGTGATGTGTTTGCAGATGATTCTAATCAAAGTCTGTCTTTCTCATGCATAGGTCAGGCAGAAAGGTTACCTGACATTAGAGAGGCTGATAAGTTGGCCAGGGCCATTCTGCTCTGTGTGGACATGGAGAGGAGGGAACTGAAGAAAGATGCCAGGGAAACTCTGAGGTCATTGCTGTCTCCACTACTGGACACCCTGAGCAGAGTCTACACCAATATCTACCTGCCTGTCCATAAGAGCGACAAGAGTCTGCAGCTTATGTTAAGACTGTTGCAGCTCAGCACAAGGCCACGTTGTCAGCAGCAAGGATTGGAAGGTTTGCATTGATACAGCAGTCAAATATCCACTAATGTTGGTTTTAACACAGTAAATGGAATTCATACAAATATTCGATTTAGATAATTGAAGAACAGTCATTTTTTTCGCTGTTGGGTCCCTAGTGTTCTGAAATAATAATGTAAAATTGATGAAAAGGAAAAAAAAAATACTCTGTCTGACTAAAACAAATGTTTAGCATTCAAGAGGTTTTGGGTAAAAATCTGTCAAAGTGTAAAAACAGGGAAAATGCCATATTTCAAACATACTCAAAGAAGTTCGTCAAACAGTGATTCTGGGCGCTTAACATTTTTTTCAGGAAGTGTAACTCATCTTTCATCAAATACATATTTTCCCCAAATAACCAATAAAATCTTTTAGCTGTAAAACAAATCAGGTAGTTTATGTTTCTATAAGCAAGCAGAAGGTTCCTGATCCTTCAGATTAGGACTTTTGGATACCAGATAGACAAGTTTACAAAGTTTGCTTATGGAAGCCTTTCCTGCTCTAACTGTTTTTCTTTTATTTGTTATTGTGGATAATTAGAGCTGGAATTGTTTTTCCCTAAATAATCAGAATCAGAATTACTTTATGAATCCCTTGTGGGAAATTCTTTTCTTGCAGTGCAACCATTTACAGAAGAGAGAAAAAATAAGATTGTAAGTACAAATAAGATATAAGATTTACATTAGATAAGGATTACATTATATACAATCAACAGTATTTACAATTTTCAGTACTGCTCAGTACTAAATTACCAATATTGCACATGGTCGTGTTATTAGACACAATAAAGTAATTAAATAAGAAGTAATGAAATTAAAGGACTTTCAGATCTGCAACCAGTCTTTAAATTAAAGGTATTATGGAGGATTTTTGAAAACGCTTACTTAGCTCTCTACTTTAAAAAAAATAAAACACATGCACAACCTTGTACCCGCACCCGAGATGAAAAGTCTATTAAACCTGTGCGAGAGCATGTATTTCTTCTCATGCACACTCTTTTTAAAATTTTCTGTTTGCATCGCTCATAGAAGCTTACTTTCCAAAAGAAGATTTGCAATTTTTCCACTATGTCAGACTCACCAACGGTAAGTGAAAATAGGGACGAGCACGTAGGACGGCCTTACGTAAACATATCACCAGAATGATTGACAATTAGGAGGACCAATTATTTTAATGATCAAATGATGAGCAAAACAGCTTTGATATTAGTGCTAGATGTTTATAAGAATTCAACTTAAAGTGTCTAAAACAACAAAAAATAAAACTACAAAGTGCTGGAAGAGCAGAAGACAAATTAGACTTCTCATCTGTCCTTTTTCTGTTCAAAATTGCTTTGGAGCATAGAAATTAACAGACCAGAATTACAATAAAAGTATTCATACAGTGAGCCAAAGATAAGCATCTGTCCTATAAGGTGCCAACACGATATGCTACGCCAGCAGCAGCTTAATTCCTATCATTAGAAAAAACGCTTACTTAGCTTCCATGTTTGCAGTAAAAGGAAAACGTCATAAACGATGTCATCTACATCAGCTGATATAATTACTGTGTGTAAAAATGAATAATTACTACCTGTGTCTTTTGACTGCTTAAAGCTTAAATGGTGCCTATGGATCAAAGTAGGAGGAAATGGTCTTTAAGGGGAAAACATATTTAAAAAGATATAGATATATAACATCTTGGTCTATTCAGAAAAGGTAAAGGAATTATTATGTTTTTTTATTATTTAAAAACAAGAAAAGTTAGCTTTAGCAGAAGTTACAGCCTATGTGTTCTGAATAAGCTAAATGTAATAAAAAAAAATGATTACTGAAACAACCACAATGATACTAAAGTATTAAAGGCCAATAATATTACAGATGGGGTCTAAATGATGATGAGGAGAGGAATCAGTGCAAAACATTTTGGTTTGTACCAGCTAACACTCACTAGACTAAGCATTGTCTATAATAGGTCAGAGGGCATAAAAATGCAAATAAAAAGAAAATGCTGCCTGTTAAAAGAATCAGTAACCTATTGGTGCATATTTGGGGTCTTTTTCTTATTTTGATTACAACTCTTTTTTTGTGTGTGTGTGTGCGCAGAGGACGATTTGATGTTGGCCATTGAACAAGCTGTTGTTGAAGTTGTGGATCCAGTCCAGAATTTTATCCTAAGGAGGCTCTGTGGGGAGCTACAGGAGGTAATCCCACTGTGAAAAAGTATTTTTTAAATTAAAATAAGTACATTGAGGAGGTAAGTGAGGCACTTTGCCAATGAAAAATGACAATTTAGATTTTTAAATGAGAAAATAACAATTGCATTGTCTTATTTTAATGTAAATAATAATTTAATTGGCAAATCATCTTATTTACCTACTAAGGTTAAGGGTAAGTAAAATAACCCTAACCCTTAATTGAAGACATTTTTATGTATTTCTAGGTGGTTTTTGCAGTGCAGGAAGCAAAAAGAAATTCATAATTTTTCCTCCTTATTCACAAACCCAGATGTCTGCGTTTTGCTTCTTCCACAGCTCTTTGACGTTGAACGGGCTGATCTGTATCTCTGTGTCCTGAAGCAGCTGGCTGCACTGAGCAGCTCTCTACCTCATGGCTCTAAGAACATTCATCAGTATGCTTCGCCTAAACTCATCATGTATAGCCTTTCAGTGTTAAAAAAGCCAACCCAGCAGGTACGCAGTTAAATATATGCTCCCCGTCATCAGGTTTGCTGCTCAGTAATTCAGCACAGACTGTTTTATGTTGTTTTAGATCCCCTCTGTTGCAAACCAGGTGTCTGAGGCGGTTAGTATGGCATCTTTGGCTGCTGTGTGTGATCTGCTGCAGCAGGGAGGGACTAACATGTCATCAGAGACTGCCTCTGCCCTAAAGTCCCTCAATGATTATTTCTACACTTTTGACACTTCTACAAAATCTCAACCATCTCTTAGAAACATTAATAAACGTCTGATGAAACCACAGCTGTTAGATAGTACAAGGTTTGTGGAAAGTCAACAATAGAGTAAAATCATATTCATTAAATATCTAATAAATGTAAGACTCCCAGATTTAGAAGATTTTTCCCTTTTTTTTTAACAGTGACCTTGTGACTCAAGGCCTTCTGCAGCAGGACTGGGGGCGCATTGCTGCCAGCTTCCTGCGGGACCAGTGGGTTTGTCTAAACTTCCTGATCAGGTCTGTAGGGATCCCCAAAGTGTCTGAGACCCTCAGGGCTGCTCTGAGCTGCAGCGTTGAGGCTCTGGCTCTGCTACCCAGTGACCTTGTCCTGCCTGTGTTGAACTTTATGAACATGGCGCTGCCACAGGTGAGTCTCACCACAGCAAGAATGAATCCTGTCGGATCATGGAGGAGTTCTAGAATATTTCAGGATGGCTTCCCTTCTCCTTTATGACCTGATCTGGTTTGTTTTTAATCATAGCTGGTGGACGATGAGGAGGATCTCTGTGTGCAGGCTGTCAATCTGAGTTGGGAGCTTGTACAGGGGCTTAGCAACAATGCTCATGACTTCTGGCCAGCCTTACAAGGCTTCATTTCTATAGCCTTCCAACATGAGCTGCTGAAGCTGAACCATCAGCAGGCTCCAGCTCTGACCGCAGCACTGAAAAGGGTGAATTACAGTTGGACAAAATAACTTCATCTTCTGTTATCCTCTACGGTTCTATTTCACATGTGGTTAAATGCTTGTTTTTTTTTAGATTTTTACGGAGGTAGTGGAGCTGTCTCAGTCAAAAAGTGGAGTACTTGGTGTCCTAGTTCAGCACTGTACTCAGACATGGCTGCCCGGTGAGGGAGGCAGCAGTGAGCTGGCTGATGGGATTTTTTCTAGCGTCTTTAACCACCTGGATATAGTCACTGAGGCTTGTCTATATGGACCAGTGTTCAGGAGAGATCAACGGTAAGTCCAAACAGCTTTCCCTTCCTGTTCCTTTATCTTCTTTTAACTATTATATGTGTGTTTTTTAAAGACTCATCCAAGATGTCCAAATATTCGTGGAGCAACTTGGTGAAAATTGTGCAGCTAATGTTGCAGTTGCTAGGTGAGTCAAGATGTGTAAGTTAACATGAACCACCACTAGAGGTCCCTCCTGGTGTGCTAATAGCTGTTGTGCTTCTCTCAGTGATAACAGGGACGATCAGCTACCCCGCACATGTGTGCTGACCTTCCTCAGCCGCCTGGATCCCTGTAATCAGCAGCATCAGAGACTCATAGAGGAGTTAGTGGTGGAGTTACTGAGAAAGGTACTCGTTGAATAATGGGCGGGTCGGTAAATGCTGCATCCATGTAGGTTCCTTTATGCAATTTCTTTTCATTTCTAATATTTTTTTTAACAAAACAGCTTTAAAATCAATAATAGACTCGTGACTCATTTGTTACATCCCACTTTTAAAATAGTTTTTTTTTCTGTTTTTTTGGTTTTTTTTACCTTAGACACATATTGATCCCTCATACTTTCATAAATACTGATTATTAACAGCAAGGTTAGACCTTTTTTTTGTGCAGGGTTTACTTTATATGTCCCTATAATTATTAACTTGAAATTAAATCAAATGGTCCTTTAAAATGACTTGATTTTGCTGAGCTTCTTTTAACAAAATTTTTTTTTTATTACAAAATGAACCCAAGGTTAAATTATTTAACATAATTTATCGCATTTTGATTGTTTTAAGATAATTCATTTCTAATGATTAATACAATTTTTGTTTGTTTTAGTTTTTTGACAAGAAGCTAATTTATATTTCTCTGAAAATGTCAATATACTACAAAGTGACCAGTCAAACTAATAATTTTCATTTTTAATCCCATTCCTCAAAAATCTGGAAAACTGAAATTGTATGTTTGCATGCAGTGAAGGGAAGCACATATAACAGAACAAGTACTTCCTCATCCTGAAAGGAAAAACAAAGTTTCATCTGTCTCCTAAAAGGAAAAAACAGAGCAACTAAGATAAATGGATGTTGATTTTCATGAGCCAAAAAACAAATATTATCACCATGCAGAGGAACAAATTTGCCTGCATACAAATTTCTTCCATTTGACAGGAAAAAAATGGAAAAAATGATTAAATAGAAAATGCAGTTTTCAGAGAGCTAAAACCTAATAAATGGTTTTGCTACTGCTGGGGACAATAACTTTCATCGAGTGTTAATAGGTGTTTTACATCTCCTTGAAGGAAGTTTTCTACATGGACAGCTTCTATTTAGATCAGGTCTAGTGGTAACAGACAGTAATCACTAAAACAATGCTGTCTAAAAATATGGTTAATCACAATAATTCCTATTTTAATGATGGGGTCTCATTAAGCCAAGCTTTATATAACCGTGTACTTCATAAATAAAATAAATACTTGGGTTATTTTTGTCCGGTAGTAAAATTTTATTTTATCTCAAACATTTGACCATAAATAGATCATCTGCAAGTGAGATAAAACCTTCATGGTGATCTATTCCAGCTATCAAAGTGTGAACTAATTCAGCCACCTCCATCTCCACAGGACAGCCTCATATCCAAGGCTAAAGTCCGTTACTATAGCAACTCCCTGCAGCATCGCATCAAAAACAGAGCATGGCAAACACTGCTACTGCTGCTTCCCAAACTCACAGAGGTGAGTAGAAAAGAGTTTCAGAGACATTTTTTCTATAAATTTCAGTTTTAGGATCAAACCTTTTCTGTTTGTGTGCAGGAATTTGTTGCCACTCTGTTGAACAGCGTGTTTGAAGCTGGATTTTGTAGCAACCAGCCTTCTGTGAAGTACCTGATTGAATGGATGATGATTCTCATCCTTGTCAAGTATCCTCATCATTTGGACAGATTCTGGACCTGCTTCAGCTTTGTGAGCTCATTTTGTAGATAGATAACCAACTGAATAAAATTGCATATTATTAATTCCTTTTTTCTCTGCAGGACCACGAAAAGACCAAGACCAGCATTTGCACCTTCCTGTCTGTCCTGGTACACATAAGTGTCATTATTCCACATGTTGAGGATAAAGTAAGGCCATCTTTATTTTACTGCTCTATATGACTGTGTTATTCCTCTGTGCTTATGTCGATTTGATTTTCCATTTTTTTCTTTTAAAGGTCGACCAGCTGCGTAAAGCACTGGACATCATCCTGCAGTCGTGTTTCAACCACAACTTTAGTGTGCGTCTGTATGCCTTAGTGGCCCTGAAGAGGGTGTGGAGCCTTGCAGAAAGCGTGACAGAGGGTGATGCCTTCAGAGGACTGTCGTCTGTGGTGACGGCTTGTCTGAACCAGGCTGAGGCCATGCAGAACTCTGGGTTAGAGCTCAACACCTGCAGCAGGCTTGTTTTGTAACCGTTACAATGAGCTTATTTTAAGATGCATTTGCTGTTTTGTTTTTTTTTTTCCTCTTAGAAATGCCAACAAGAACTGGCTGAGGATTCAGGGGCACTTCTTCTTCAGTGCTTTTCATCCCATCCGGGATTATAGTCTGGAAGTAGGT